AAAATAACGAAAGTTTTGAAAAAAACCCCCAATATTTTTTAATTTTGGTTATAGAAAATAAATAGCAAACTCAAAGTTAGTCATACATTTAGGCCAAAATGTATTCTGCTATGTCTTTGGGAAAAAAAAAATCCCAATAAGTGTAGATTAATTGGTTTGTGTGAAAAATAAAGCATTTACAAACTATAGTATGTTTATTGAAATTTTCACCATTTTTTGCTATAAGACGCTGCACTAGTTTAACTGACAATTGCGCAGTCATGCAATACTGTACATAAATGAAATTAATGTCCTTTTTTCACACAAATAGAGCTTTCTTTTGGTGGTATTTGACACCTCTGGGTTTTTTATGTTGCACTATAAAAAATAAAAAAGACCAGAAAATTTTGAAAACCTATATTTTGATAAAAAAAATCCCAACAACTGTATATTACTTAGTTTGTAGACAATATATCTTTTACACAAACCATGATATAGATACTGGAATTTTTCTGACTGCCTATCATATTTCCTGAGGTGCTAAAATTACAGGGCAGTACAAACACCTTCAAATGACCCCTTTTCAGAAATTAGACACCCTAAGTTATCTGCTGAAAGGCATTTTGAGTCCATGGAAGCTTTATTTTTCTTTCCCACAAGTTTTTGGAAAATGACAAAAAAAGTTTGTTTTTTTTACACAAAATTGTCACTTAAATGATATATTGCTCACACAAGCCATGGGTATATGTGGAATTACACCCCAAAAAATATATTCTGCTACTTCTACTGAGTATGGGGGTACCACATGTGAGAGACGTTTTGGAAGGCTAGCCACATACAGTAGCCCAAAATCCAATAAGCACCTTCAGGCTTTTATAGGGCTTTATTTCCTCATTACACATCTACACTTCTCATTACTTTTCTTCTATTGACTCAACATGCCTCTCAACAAATAGTTTGGGGTGTCTACTTTCCAAAAAGGGGTCATTTGGGAGGTGGGGGCATTTTATACCCAGCATTAGAAGTTTATGCCGCACATCACTCACTCTTCTAACCACCTGAAGACCAAGCCTTTTCTGACACTTTGTTCACATGAAAAAAAAAGTCAGCATTTTTTGCTAGGAAATTACTTTGCTTTAAAAAAAAATATATAATGTTTGGGGATTCAGACAGCCTAATGAATAAAATGGTGGGTGATGCAATTTTTTATGTCACATGGTACTCATGCAGCGATTTTTCAAAAGCCAATTTATTTTGAAAAAAAAAAAATTTTTACTTTTAATGCACAAAAACTTAAAATATTGGACAATTGTTTGGTAAAATATAAAAGATGATGGTATGTTGAGTAAATAGATACCAAACATGACTGCACATGCCCAGTGCAATGGCAACAAGCTGCATACATTTTTAATATCCATTGGCTACGGTTTAAAAGCCACCATTTAGATCTACACAGGAGTTCTAGTGCTAGATCTACTGCCCTCAATCTGACATTCGTGGCGATAGTTCACATGCATGGTGCAACCGCATTGACAGATATTTTCTGAGAAATTTGCTGGGGTCTATTAGACTAGATATCTCCTCTGCCTTTACATCATGATCTCACCAAGATCGGTGTGATCATGATCCTTTGAAGAAACTACATATTCCGCAATACTTGGTTCTCTCAGTCTAGCACTAGTGCAGGTGGGAGCTGCACAGTAATTAGATCCAACACAGACGCACGCGGGCAGACCATTCAGACATACAGAGAGCTCAGTCATGCGGGTGGAACATGATGTATTTTATCACTTTAGCAATCTCACATTTATGATGCAACACAGAGGATGACGAAGCACGCATTGCATGCTGCGTGACCCAGTACAAGAAGTTATCTAGTTCCTTTTACACATAGAGACAAGCTAGCTCAAGCAATACATGAACATGCAACCACAACATGTGCTTAAAAGGTCAAGCATACAAATAAAATATAACTACACTAATACCTAGTTAAAAAACCAAAACATTTGAAAGTGTACAACACCCTTCAGATTTAGGGAGGTTGGTCAAAGGTATGTAAACCAAGGCACTAAAATCGCACATAGGCTTTAACATGTTAATTTAATTTCAAAAGCCATTTTCAATGTTTTTAAATCTGTAGCACTTTGTTATAGGGTAGCAATGCTCTTTTTCTGTCTTCCAGCTGTTTTTTTTTGTATTGTGAGCCTGTGACAAAGGCTTCTGATGGAGACCAACGCAATAACAAGAGGGTGGACTAGTGCAGGTCTTGACAAATTTGCTTTGAATCTAGGAGGCAGCTAAAAAAGTTAGGAGACAATTTTTTGAAAGAACAAATGAAACGAAAGGAAAGACACCGGGACGCTCCTTCACTGGTTCAGGGATTTTATAACCCAGTAGCTTTCTCTCTTCTCCTACTAGCACTGGCAGGACAGGATATATGGATTCTGTTGGTCAGTGCTGTCCATGTGATGTGCTGACCAATTATAATGCCTCTTGTCTGTACGCTGAGAGGTACGGATAGGAGATTAAGCCTTAGAGATTTCAAATCCCTGGATCAGTAAAGCGGCGTTGTGGTGTCTCACAGCCGACGACTGACAAAAGCCCAGGCACCAGGATGCAATTCTTCATGGCGACCTAGGATTTGTTGAGCCCTGCAGCACAGCCCCCCATATCACGAAGTACAGTTCCCCCCTCCCAATATCACGCAGTATAACTCCCGCCCCGCCATACCACAAAGTACAGCCCCTCATATCACAATTCAGCCTCCCAACATTTCACACAGCAAAATTCCCCCCCCAAACCACACAGCACATATGATCAGAACAGTACAGGGGCCCCTCCATACGATTAGCACAACACAGAGGTCCCACACAGGCTCAATGTTGCCCCCCCCCCAAGAAATATGTGATAAGAGCAGAGGAACAGTGTGGCCCCCCTATAGGTACACTACAGGGGCCCCATATATGATCAGTGAGGTCCCCTGCCAGACACATGTGCTCAGATGATGGTCTCCCCTCCCCCAGCAGAGTCCCGCTTACCCTGGCCAGCCCCTTGTTCTTCCGCTCATAGCTGCCCACTATGGAGACCAGGACCGGGTGAACCTTCACCACCGCACTGCTGGGACCCCAGAACACATCCCTGGAGCCGCCATCACTGCCTGCCAGAGAGAGAGGGTGGGGCTGATACACTTTGCACAGTTCGCCGGCCAGGGATTGGACAGAGGGGAGGAGGTGGCTATGCGCGCCGCTCTGTGTTCTCCCTCTCCAGCCAATCACAGCTAAGCTAGGAGATTAAGCCACAGGGATAGCCCTGGATCATTGAAGCGGTGTTCCAATGCCTGCCAGCGGACTGCTGACAGACCCCTGGCACCAGGACACAATTTCTAGTCGCCATGGTGACCTGGCGCATGGGGTTTGTTGAGCTCTGGCCAAGTGCATTACCAAATGAAAACTTATTATAAAGAAACAAATGCTGTTTGATACATCAAAATATTTACCTGTTGACTCACGGTATCTTGACTTCTTCATTTTCACCAAGCTATTTAGTTAACATTTCTTGATAAACACGTTTGCTTTAATATTTAGAGCATTCATTTCTTGGACCTTCTTTACCAAGCTACGGCCCTGTCAATCTTGGGATGTTGTGTGAACATTATATGTGCAAGTGATGGTTACGTTTCCCATTTTGCATTATAAATTTCAATAAAAATATATTGAACAAGAAAAACTGAATGTTCCGCAATCATTATAATTGACTTAATTGTCTCTAAGTGGCTAACGTTCAGTATGATGTACCATTAGAATACTGTAAATAGTGTAATACTGCTGTAAAATCATAATAAAAATACTGACATTATTTCTGGTAATAAAATTCTGCAGAATCCGCAAATAAAATGCCAGAAACATACTAACAAACAGCCAAATAGCTAAAAGAACTGAATAAATCAAGCCCAAGTGACAATCAGGTCAGGATGTGGAAATGTTGCACAGAACCCTAGGCATCACTTAGATGCACATGATGACGCGTTTCAAGGGATGAACCCGCTTCCTCAGAGCATAGTTTGTCTGTTGACCACGACCCCATTTAATACACTAGAAATAATACCAGTGTATTTTATGATGTGGTATTATTCCTAGTATATTTAAATGGGCGCAAAAGCAACAGATGAACTATGCTCTGAAGAAGAGGCATCATGCCTCAAAATACATCAACATGTATGTCTATAAGTGATTCCTAGTTCTGGGCAACATTTTCACATCTCAACCTGATTGTCACTTGGGTTTTGCTTTAACACTTTTTGCTGTTTGGCTCTTTGTGAGTATATTTCTGGCATTTTTAAAAAAATACATTTTCATTTTTGGTAATACATTAGGTCTTTCCACTTTCATTTATTAGACATTTCAACCCCTGCCTAGTGTTTATCTCTGACACTAATTTTATTAATTGTGTAATCCATTGTAAGCTGGGTTGCTAGCTGGAATGGAGTATATGACACATACCAGCAGTTCCAGTATAGTACCTCTACCCTTATCTCTGCTTTGACATGAATAAAGCACAGCCTGTGGTGACACCGCAAAGCACAGTTCTACTGCAGACCAAATTTAAAATAAAAAAAAAATACAAAACTGTGGAAAAGGTTAAAATTATGGTATATTACAGGTATAAGAAGTGTCTTTCTTGGTGTGATACATGTATATTACATGCAGTAAAAGCCGTCTTCTTTTATTGGACTTTTCTACTCATGCCAAAAATAAAACATGCCAATTCTGAGAAACTGAATGTATTCCAGCAGCTACCCCATTAAAGTGCACTATATACACTGTTCAATAGAGGTTGCATAAACTGGGAATGCATACCCATTTAAATAAGAATTGAGCACGATGCCTAAAATAACCATGACAACAGCATAATGTTATTACATTTTATTTGGCATGTGGCACACAAGCAGTACAATTAATATATTTTAACAAAATGCAGATATTCTTTACTTTCAACAAAAAAAATTAAACAACCCTTGGGTGTTAACATCCGCCCCATGTCAAACGTGCCACATGATCAGTCTTCTGTTTTGAGGGCTTTACAAAGCCTAGGAGTTCCAACTCTGAGACAGCCCTGATAAAACGAGCACTGGAAAAAAAAAATCGGTTAAGGAATTTTATGTTCTGGAGCCAACCTGTTAAAAATTTGCCTGTTTGCTTTTTTCTTTGTGAAATACCTCACATGACCGAGTAACATATTGTGGAGTAACCTTGTTATTGATTTATATAGTATTAACATCATCCAGGACTCTGGCAGGGTTTATATGCATTCACAAAATATTTGTGATGGAAAAAAAAACAAAATATATATATATATATATACATATATATATATACACACATACATACACACATACATACATATATATATATACATATATATATATATACATACACACACACATATACACATACATACATATACACAGTGGGTATAGAAAAGAATCGCCACCTTTACAATAATCACGTTTAGCAATGAAGACAGACACAGTTTTTGTTTTATCCTTGTATCCAGCTGTATTTACTCAGTGCAACTTAGAATATCTAAGTGAAAGATATTACACCAACATATCAAAATTTTTTTTTTTAATTCAAAAACAGAATCACAGAGTTGGAAAAAGGATTGCCCTCCTCTGAAAAGGGACTTGTAAACTCAATCAGGTGTAGCTAATCACCTTCTCAATTGCACAGAAAGCCATTTGACTTTCAACTGTGATCAGCTGCAGTCATTTTGATTAGCTCAGCATAAACAGAGCTTTCTGGAGCATTCCAGTCCCTAAAAGTGGCAAAGCACTGTCAAAAGATCTCCAGGATAAAGTTGTGGGCAGACATGTCAGGAGATGGATACAAAAACATTTCAAAGGCTTTATCAATGCCTAAAATCACGATTAAGTCTATTAAGAAGTGTAAGGTATTTGGTACAACATAGACCCTCCCTCATTGCTCCAAACTGGGTGAAAGAGAGGCTACCAAGATGTCTACAGCAACTCTGATGTTGCAGGAACTTATGACAAAGAGTGGTCATTGTGTGCATGTGGCAACAATATTACAAATTCTTCAAATGTGACTTGTATGGAAGGATTACCAGAAAGAAAGCCATGCCTCAAGAAAGGCCATATACAGTCATGACTGAGTTTTGCCAAACCGCAACCCTGAAGTTTCTGAGGCCACATGGAAAAAGGTGTTATGGTCAGATGAGACTAAAATGTATATATATGGCCTCAACACTATTCGATATGTCTGGCAGAAATCCAATACAGCTCACCATCCAAATAACACCATAACTACAGAAAAGTATGGAGGTGGTGATATCCTGGTATGTGGTTGTTTATCTGCAGCAAGGACTGAAGCACTTGTCAGGATAGAAGAAACAATGGGTTGGGCAAAAATATTGTCAAATTCTTGAAAAAAATATGCTGCCCTCTGCCAGAAAGTTGTCAGTGGGAAGAAGGTTTACCTTCCAACATGGCAATGACCCAAAGCACACAGCAAAATGACCAAACAGTGGTTGAAGGAGAAAAAGGTGATTGTTCTTGCATGGCCTAGTCACAGCTCTGACTTAACCCCTATTAAAAATCTGTGGAATGACTTTAAGACTGCAGTCCACAAGTGGTCACCATCAAATTTAACTGAACTTGAGCAGTTGTGCAAAGAGTGGGCAAATATTGGAAAGTCTAGATGTGCAGTTAGTAGAGAGACATATCCCAACAGACTAAAGGCTGTAATTAAAGCAAAAGGTTGTTCAACAAAATACTGACACAAAGGGGTGATCCTTTGTGAAGGATGTTCACACAATGTATGGTGTAGGAATGCGTGCAAAATTGCACTTTTTTTTGCAGTGCAGGAAAACATGCTGCCTTTTGCAGATGCGTACAATCTGAACTGCAACCCCATGCATTTAGCAAATGCACACACATGCATGTGCACCGAACCACACAGCACTGCAGTGCCATGTGCTTAGGTAAGGGGTGATTTAAAAATATTATGCCAGCACCTCTTTTGCACATTTCACACACATCCAACAAAATTAATGATCTGGCCTAAAACATGACGTGTGAAACCGTGTAATGAAGTGCACAGGTTTGGATGCACCTCCTAGTTTGAATGAGCCCTAAATCTCATTCCAAAGCGCCTGAGACCAGCAGTCAGAGACAGCAGTGCTTTAGGTTCACACTGCAGATGTACAGCTATGATGATGTAAGCACAAGCGTGCCTAAGTAAACTCACATACCAGGAGCTCGCTGCTATTCAGAAGGAATTCAAGACAAAAAGGTACATTTTCAGGGTACTGATTAGGCACAAATAACACTTCCAGATATTTCCAATAACATAGCTAATCCTCACTTTTTGAGTTCTGTTCCACTTTAAGGAGAAATTAAATGCATGAGTAGATCCTTAAGAATTAAACACTGAATATTATAGTACATTTTGACTACCATGGATACACTTCAATTGGACTTTGCCTAACTCTTTGTCATGTCTCTTTTAATATCCTGCACAGCTATGCCACTTTGAAATACAATATACTTTGCTTGTTCAGCCAAGACTACACATGATTTATTAGATGTGACAGCCGATCTGGGAAAAGAGGATTTAAAGACTGTTCTTGTTATTAATGAGCTGAAAGAAATGCATCCAAATTTTGAGCTGAGGACAAGTCACTGCACGTGCAGCATTTCTACATGTTCAGCTGCTGCTTCCACATTCTATTTACCTTACACAGGCAAATAAAAGGATACTGAGTCATTTCATCCACTGGCTGTAGGGAATCCATGTCACTGTCATCATTAGTGTTGACAACTGTTGCAAATGCCTGAAAGGACATGCATGAAAATAAAATAAATGTCATAAAAACAGTTTATTACATGAGGTTATCAAGTATACCACAACAAAGAACTATTTAAAGAACTCCAAATAGACAGCTAAGTATACATATGTGATCTCTTAATTGTCAAAGATTTTTAATTCTGTTCATCCAGTTTTCTGATTCATACTGTATATCTCTGCCACACTGCTCAACCAGATAGGTCAGTCCACTCATTCCTGAGACACTGCCGTAGAAATGAATAAACATCTGTGCTCAAGCTTACATATTTATAACACAGAGGGTGTTAAAGGTGAATAATGTGGTCACAATGCGTTAGCACCTCTTATGTTAAAAATGTAAGTTATTCGGATTTTAACATAGATATTGCTCCAGTTCTACTGCAAAGTGCAGCAGTTGATGACTGGGTGAATATCATTTGGAAGTATTTTTTTCTGACATGTTGGTGTTCTATCTTTCACTTGGATTTTATATGTTGCACTGAGTAAATACAGCTGGATAAAACAAAAACTGTGTGTCTTCATTTCAGGCAGCAAAGCAACAAAATGTAATTATTTTAAAGGAGGGTGATTCTTTACTATATGCACTTGTGAGAAAATAGCTCAGTAGTGGGCTGACTCCCTGGACGAGTCACAACAGGGTGAAAAAGGCACCGCAAGACCGTATGATCTTGGTGAAACACAATTGTGGTTATAAAGTCTGTGATCACAAAGTGCAGGTATCAAAACAGCAAAATAATAATTAAAAAAAACAACAAAATAAATCCTTACCACATTGGGCGTCTAACTGCAAACACAGGAACCGAACTACTTGTTCTGAAACAGCCTACTGCTGCCCAGACACTTGGCTTGCACACAGAATATGCCAGAATTCACAGTCACAAAGACTTAATCTCACCATACAAGTAAATGGCTGGACTCCAGTCTGTACTGCACAGAAATCTGGTTCCAGGATGGAGCATCCTCCATAAGCAGCCTGGGAGTTTTATAGAGGTCAGAGTGCTCAACCTGCTTCACCTGAGCTAATTAACCCCTCAGTGAGCCAAATAGGCTCACCGCACAGCACAAAAAGTAAAAGAAATCTGTGTATTGCTTAAACCTGGGACAAATATAACTTCCATCCTGGCTTCCTGTCACCTAACCCCCCCTCCCCTTCCCATCTTGTTTCAACCTTAGGGTTGGAACACAGGTTGCCAGACACACATGAACTCGGGGACTGCATTCCCCATTCTAACAATGAGGCGGGAAAACTGAATTCTCGAAGGGCCAGAAACCACTTATGCACCCTCTTATTGGTCTCTGTTTTTGTGTCACCCACTTTTATGTCACCAGTAATGTTACCCGTTATCAATTCAAATTGTCTACCCAAGAGATAGTACCAGAGAGAATCCGGTTTATTGCTAAACATTCTTTTTCAATGGTGGCATAGTTTTTTTCATGGGGTGTTCTTCTCCACTGAAAACCTAAGACAATACAGCTCCCAAATCAACGTCTGACGCATCTGTCCAGGTCACAAAGTCCCTTGAGAAGTCAGGAGAGTACAACCCTGGCTGACTACACAAGGCCTGTTTTAATGACACAAAAGCTACTTCTACTTCAGGGGTCCACTTGACCATGACAGTCTCCTTCAATCTGTCACATTAGTCAAGGGAGCAGCCTGTGAGGCAAAATGGGGAATAAAGCACTGATAATAACCAGCAAATCCCAAAAACGCTTGAATCTGTTTCTTGTTGGTGGGGTGTGACCAACTTTGAATAGCCTCAACTTTGCTTACCTAGGGCTTTATTAGACCTCCACCAATGGTATATCCCAGATACATGGCCTCCTCTAGCCCAATGGTACATTTTATTTGGATTGGCTTTAAACCGGACAGATCCCAGATAGAATCTAACACAGCCTGAACCTTTAGTAAATGTGAGTCTCAATGCTCACTATAGATTATTATACAGGATTTATACAAGATAACCAGGTCATCTAACTATGCAACAGCATAGGCTTGATGGGGTTTAAGGGTCTTATCTATCACCTGTTGAAATGTTGCCAGAGCATTCTGCAACCCAAAAGGCATCCTCCAATACTGGAAAGACCCCTCTGGAGTTACAAATGCGTTATTTTCCTTGGCTGATTCCAAGAGAGGAATCTGCTAATACCCTTTGGTCTGATACAACGTCGTCATATACGAGGCTGTTACTAGGTGATTATTCAGTTTGTCTATGCATGGCATGGGATTAGTGTCAAACTTAGTGATTTTATTCAGTTGGTGAAAGTCACTGCAAAACTGACAACTTTCATCTGGTTTGGGCACTAACACAATAGGACTGGACCAATACCTATTTGACTCCTCTGTAACCCTCAGTTCAAGCATGCATTTTTATTTCTTTGTGAATTGCCTCTCACCTGGCTTCTGGAAGACAACAGGGTTTCAACTTGACCCTTTCCCCTGGTGGGGTAATAAATATCATGCTCAATCCCAGAATTTTTCTTTATTGTGGAGCACCAAGTCTCTAGCTTCCTGTTGCTGAGTTTTTGACAAAGTCTCTTCTATCCTGACTTTTGGGATTACCAAGTTAAGAGAAGCAGGAAGCAGGGTAGTCTCAGCAACTAAGCATTCTCTATTCTTCCATGATTTTATCAAATTCAGATGATATACCAGTTCAGGTTTTCGTCTTCATGGTTGGCAAAAAGTATAATTCACACCCATTTTCACCCAACACTTCATACGAGCCCTACCATTTGGCTAGGAATTTGCTTTCAACTGTGGGGACCAACACCAATGCCCTATCACCAGGCGAAATAAAACAGATTGTAAATCCTCTGCTGAGCCAAATGTTGCTTCACAATAGGCATGACTTGCGCAATTCAATCTTGCATTTGTGCAACGTTACCACTTCTATGAGGGGAACTCTCACTCTCCCATGTTTCCCTGGCAATGTCCAATTGGCCCCATGGTTGCCTCCCATACAGTATCTCAAAAGGAGAGAACCCTGTGAGTGATTGTATAACCTCCCCGATAGCAAACATCAAATTAGGGAGTAGATAATTCCAATTCTTTCCATCTTTATCCACCACTTTCCTCAACATTTGTTTTAACAGTTTGTTAAATCTTTCAACCAGCCCATCTGTTTGAGGGTGATACACTGAAGTACGTACAGTGCTCAGCATAAATGAGTACCCCCCTTTTGAAAAGTAAGATTTTAATCAATATCTCAATTCAACACAAGAACAATTTCCAAACTTTTGACAAAACTGAGCTTTATAAAACATTTGATTAGTTTATTACATGAAAGTAAGGTTAATAATATAACTTCGATTATAAAATCTTCAGTTTTTCAAATTAGTTGATGCAAAAATGAATACACCTCACAACAAAAACTACTATATCTAGTATTTTGTATGACCGCCATGATTTGTGAAGACAGCACCAAGTCTTCTAGACATGGAATAAACAAGTTGGAGACATATTGCAACATCTATCTTGTTCCATTCTTCAAGAACGACCTTGTTTAGAGCCTGGATGGTGGATAGAGAGTGATGCTCAACTTGTCTCTTTAGAATTCCCCATAGGTGTTTGATTGGGTTCAGATCAGGAGACATTCTTGGCCACTGAATCACTTTCACTCTGTTCTTCAGAAATGCAACAGTGGCCCTAGATGTGTGTTTTGGACCATTGTCATGTTGGAAAAGTGCACGATGACCAAGGGCATGGAGTGATGGTAGCATCTTCTCTTTCAATATAGAGCAGCACATCTGTGAATTCAAGATGCCATCAATAAAATGCAGCTCCACAACACCAGCAGCACTTATGCAGCACCACAGAAAGACACTGCCACCACCATGTTTCACTGTAGGCACCATGCATTTTTCTTTCTACTCCTCACTTTTGCAACACCAAAAAGTTTTGAAGCCATCAGTTTTGAGAACATTTATCTTGATCTCATCACTCCAGAGTCCCAGTAGCCTTTTTTTTTCAGCATGGGCCCTGGCAAATTCTAGGTGGGCTTTTTTGTGCATAGGCTGTAGGAGAGGCTTCCTTCATGGACGACACCCATGCATGCCATTCCTCTACAGTGTATTATGTTGGTAAACACCACACTTTGGCTTTCTACTTATTTAGCTAACTACAGTGAACTTGCATTACGATTTTCTTCAACCCTTCTCATCATAAGACGCTCCTGTTGAGGTGTTAACTTTGGTGGACGGCCTGGATGTCTCTGTGAGATGGTTGCAGTTCCATATTTGTTAAATTTTTGTATCACTTTTTCTACAGTATTCTGACTGATAAGTAAAGCTTTGCTAATCTTCTTGTAGCCTTCATCTTTCTTGTGTAAAGAAATTATTTTCTTTTTCAAGCCTTGTGACAGTTTTCTTCCATATGGTGCCATTGCTGACAGCATGAAATGAGAAAGGGTTTTCTTTGTTAAGTACCGCCCCTTAATAATCAAATGTCTGCTGGATACCTGTTTAATGAATAATTAGACTCACCTGTATTTGAATTCTTGTTAATTAGGATTTTGTGGTCTAAAATTTAGCTTTGCTCCTAGGACTTTCAGTGGGGTGTATTCATTTTTGCAACATGGTGTTAAATTAATTTGTTAGGGAGAATACTTGTGTGTGTGCAAATTAAGAAATCTACCATAGTTTGCAATCAATGGCCTACATTTGTGGGAGTATTTTGTAGGATAGTGTACCATAGAAAATGTTGATTATGAAAGGATAGTAATGGTTTTCGTACTCATTTATGCTGAGCATTGTAACTGTGTCAGCTTAAGAAGTTTGCAAAGCTCTTTAGTTACTCTGAACATAATCGGGGTGTCCTGGTCGGTTAGTACTTCTTTAGGAATGCCCACATGGCTGAAAACCTGAAATAGCTCTTTGGAAATTGTTTTGGCACAGGTCTATCAAAGAGGAATCGCTTCTGGTAACGGGTGGCAAAGTCCATTATCGCCAAGATGTGTTGGTGCCTTCTAGCGGACGTTAGCAAGGGCCAAA